AAAAGTTTTGATTATGGGAAATTCTTGTGAGAAAAAAATGGGGAAATAGGAGAACTATTAGACCACAGTGCAAGGTTAATTCTCAGAAATGGAAGGCAGGAACTGGATTGAGTGGAAGAATACAAGAGTTCCATGTACAGTAAGGAAAATTTGGTGAGGGTAGTAGAAGAGAGTTCTTAAACCAGAGCAATTCATTCCTCAGAAGATCCAAAATGTCATGCTTAGTCACTGGCGGGGAAGTTTAGCCTCAGCACCAGTGGGAGGAGCAACCAAGGCCGCTGCTCAGGTATAGTTCCTGTACTGAGAGACCCTTGGATTGTAATAGTCTTCTTTTCCATCTACCCCCGCCCCACCTCCTGTAAGAAGAATTTCGCGGTTTCTTGACATTTTGCGGAGGTTCCAAATGGCAGATATGTGAAAGCACATCCACAGCCACAAAATTCGAAGACAAAACAGTTTGCAAAGCAATTGTCAATCGTAAGTTTGTTTTATAAGGAAAGCATATGTAAATGAGATGAACATATGCAATGGCATAAATACATAAGCACATAACAAATATAACTGGTTCAAGGGAATAGGATGTAATAAAAGCCAACTCTATGCTCCTGCTTCAAAGACACAAAGAAACAGGATATAGGAATTTGAAAATTTTCTGCCTGAGTGGGAGAAAAGAAAGGAAAATGTATTTACTAGGACCTTGGTTTTGTACCAGGTACTGAAGTAGGTGGTTCACATATAATTTGAAATGTACAGTGATATTTATGTCTCTTATTTAATACTCATAGCATTCTTTCAGGCATCAAAATTCTGTTTTACAGATGAAATAATGGAATTTGAAGGGATTAATTAGCTTGCATAATGTCTCACACCAAGTAAAAGTGTAGACAGTCTATCATCGGGAGGGTATGTGGGCAAGGACCTATGGAGAGTTCCTCTGAATGTGTCTGTATATATCTTGTTTGTTTGTTTCGGTGCTGGGGATCAAATCCAGGGCCTTGCATATATTAAGTATGTTATTTACCACTGAGCTACACACCCCAATCCTGTATATTTTATTATAGCAAGGAAGTTTTCTCCCAAAGCATTTTTGGTCTTTCAAATTTTGCTGCCCAGTCTATTACACACTATCTTTTTGGATCAACTCCATACACCTCACAGTATGGGACTAAATCTCTCAAGGAGCCCTTTCCCTGAAGGATAACCCCACTGGACAGGTCACCTTCTAGACCTCTTGTCCTCTGATCTCTTATTCTTCCTGCCCTTTGTTTCTGAGGCTTCTTTCTGCATGACTGATTCATCCTTGTGAATGATTTTCTGATTCAAACCATCTTGGACGTGTCCTGCTCCTCTGCTAATCAGAGCTTTATTATGACTCTTACTGTAGAGTTTTAATCTCTGCACAGTAAGGAATCCTCATCAGCACGTAGAAATTTTCAACTTATTCAATCATCATTATTTTTTGTAATTATGCTCTATTATTACAAAACTCCTTGGTATCTATCTTCTCTAAATCAAAGTTCATCTTTGGTTTGAGAATAATTACAGATGTAATTTACTGACCGTTTTGCATGTAGCACCACAATGAACTGACATAGCAGATGCTATTCTACAGAGCATGAAATTGAGGTGTGGAGCAGGCGTGGCTCTCTGAAAGCAGGCATGAGCATCTCTGAGAAGAAGAGTCGCAGAAGCGGGATGGGTAGAGGAATAAATTAGATTGTGAGGCAGGCCTCTATAGCTTTCGCCATCTCATTCGAGAGCTCTGGACAAGGTACTGCCCATCTGCGTTCCAGGTCAGGTCAACAGAGCCAGCTCTTCATTTGCTTTCCCTGCTCCATTCCTGGATGAGGCTATCGTGCGAAACCATGCCCTTGGACCAGGTGAATCTCAACTGATGAGACCCTGAAAGAAATAATACCAGGAGCTGTCTGCTGACTGCATTCTGCATAGCGAAGATCAAATCCATCCTTGAAGAGGATCTGTGTGGTGCATCTCTGTTATTACTATGGACTCTCAGAATATTTTAAAAATCTATGAAAGTTCTATAACTACTAAGTACCAAGGATTTGATACTGAATCTTTTGTGGATTAAAAGTTCATGCCTTCACTAACTCAGAATTGATTTCCTCATATCCATTCAAGCCACCCTATTAGAAGCATCTTTACAGCTTTTTAAGAACAGGGATGTCCGGCCTATGGATCCAGAGGACCTCTGTGAGATTCAGATTCAATTGGTGTAGGTGGTCTCCAGGAAGCTTACTTATCTTATAAAAAGTGCCCAGGCTGATTCTAAAGTACAGTCATGTATAAAAACTATTGCTAACTATGAGATTAGTGAGGGAAGGTCACCAAGTGCATGAGTGGCAAAAGTTCTAATGCCAGACCATATGCCCAGTCCAAGCCATGATACATGGGAAGTTAAAAAAATTCAGAAGACTCATCTCTCTGAGACTGATATTATCCAACATTCCTGCTAGTACCTCATCTTGTTTCATGACTGCAGGTTCTCTGATCACCCTAGGGAAGAATCTTGCTGAAAGTACAACTACTTCAAGATTCATGAAAATACCCGAGCTTGTAAGAGAACTGAACAATTTGCTCTCCAAGCAGCTCCTGAGATGTTATAAGTACCAAGTATTTGAAAGTACCAAATTCTATTTTATTTTTTGCCTTTCAACATAAAAATGGCGATGGGTTTCTGGTTTTAAAATTATTTTTAATACATAATGTAATCATTTCTAGGATTGCAATAAACTTTTAATTATCTCCTTTAAATGAAAATTATAATTTTACGACCAAACATTACATGATTATGATGGGGTAAGTGTCAAGGTAGAAACTTAATTATTAGGTAAGTTATCAACCTAAAGCAAGGCTGTTACCTGAACTAATAAAGATTGTTACTTGTTACTGAGTTAACAAACTTCTGAGTCTGGCTTCTTTCAATTCTTCTTTTTATCCCCTCTCCCTTCCTCCCCTTCCTTTTCTCTCTTCTCCTTCTCCTTCTCCCCCTCCTCCTCTTTCTCCTCTTCCTTCTTCCCTTCCTTCTACCCTTCCTCCTCCTCCTCCTGCTCCTCCTCCTACTCCTGCTCCTGCTCCTTCTCCTCCTCCTCCTCCTCCTCTCTCTCTTCCTCCTTCTTCTTCTCCTTCTTCTTCTTTTCTTCTTCTTCTGGTAATGGCAATTGAACTCAGGGCCTTTGCACCAAACTACAGCCTCACCCATTTTACTTTATTATATTTCATTTTATAGGCTGGGCTTGCACTTGAGATCCTCCTGCCTCAGCCTCCCAGAGTGTTAGGATTACAGGCATGCCCTCCATGCCAAGCTTCTTTCAATTTTTTTTTTTAGTAGGATAAAGGTAGGTCTCAGATCTGAAGGCAGGGTTTCATTGAGCAGAGCTCTCTGGACTCCAACTGTGGAGAGAACAGGAGCCAGAGATGCGATAATATCAAAATATTGAATACATCCTTTTAAAAACACACTAGATAGTTACATAAGGTGTCTAATTCATATGCACTTCTTATTGAAAAAGAATCCTAGTCAGATACGGTGGCATATGCCTGTAACCCTAGTACTCTTGGGGCTGAGGCAGGAGACACAGGTTTCAGCCTAGCCTGGGCACCTTAGCGAGATGCTGTCTCAAATTTTAGAATGAGTTTTAGAAAGGGTTGGGGATGTAGCTCAGTGCAAAGTCTCTGTGTTCAGTTCACAGTACCGCAAAATAAAATAGCACACATCAAATCAAAAGGAAACAAATCTACTTTACAATAGTTAACCATAAAGATTTTAAATTGAGATAAATAGTATAGCCCCTTTCTCATTTGGGATGATATCTTGAGCTCTGTGACTTATGATTTATGGGTTTTGACCTCTAGTGCCTTTTGAAAAGGAAAATGGGTCCTGCTTCAGCTGCTTCTAGAAGTTTACGCTCTTTTTCGAGCATGGGAAAAGAAAGGAATTGTACAAATGTCTCACAAACACATCTTAGGATGTTTACTTGATTAGGTATGGAAGCCCTAAGAGGCTGCGTATAATTACTCTATATTACCCTGTGGGTGGCTAAATGTACGGATATTTAACAATAAAAGTAGATGTTAAGAAGTTATAATACTGAGTTCTTTAAAATTAAGAATAGTGACATGTTCATTTTTGTATCTCAAACGATAGCACCTTGTGTGTTTGAGTCAGTGTGTGTGGTGATTGTCTTTTGGTCTTATGTAGTAAAACCACTGGAGTTTGAGCTTGACATTATATTACCAGACTCTAAGGCAAAGGCTTACAAGAGACAGCTGCACAAAAGCCACAGATCCAGGTCTCTTATTTCTAACCTCAAATGGTAGTGCCTTTGATTAGCTCCTGTGATTACAAGCTAAGCTAATGATTAGAAGTGGCTTTGGCAAAGTCCCGCGGCAGCCCCGAACTATCTCACTGTGTACTCTTACCTTTTTTTTCCTTTGCTATTTCTACACTACTTCATCCAGCTGGGAACTACATAAAAACTGTTGAAAATGAAAGTTTCCTTTAATTAATATTCAAGATCTCATGATCAGAACTTCAGTATTTAGAAAGAACCTACAGGCACTAGATCTTGTTCCACTGATGTGAAATACGCAGATTAAACACGGCAGCCTTTTTCTCTTTTGTTGAGGAAACACATCCTGTCACTCATTTTCTCCATAACCTCAGATAACTCTTCTTCGCTTTCATGATAATAACTGTTCTCATCTTACTGTGACATGATGTTTGGGGGGAAAAAGTCTAAACTCTTTCACATACAAAAGTTTCATAGTCACAAGCTGTGAAAAGGGGGGAAAGGTATGTTTATTAACCATAGGTACTTTTACCATGAATTTCCTGACCTTGATTTGATTAAAATCTTAACCTAAAGATTGCAACAATCTAGACTTCTTTAAAGTTTACTTGTTCACTTCACTTTGAAGAAAACCTCAAGGAGGGGCCAGAAGGTGGCAGAGCGGAAGGAGAACTTCAGGACCAAGCCTCTCTGCAGATGAGTGTTTGAAAGTGAGCAACCAGCTTACCAAGAAGCAAAACCACGGATGAGCTGTCTCACATCTCTGAACGAAATCAGTCCATCTCTGCCTACTGTCCTCTCTCACCAACTGTCCTCTTTTTATTGATTTCTCAGATGCTGCCAGGGTAGATAACCTGATCTATCTCTGAAGAACTCAGGGGAGGAAGGGAAACCTTCTGCCTGAGCACTTTTTTCCACGCTGAATATGTACAGGGAGTGAAGACAATGCCTGCCATGCTTGGAACTTGGAAATTGTTTTGGGTCCTCTTCCCAATCCTACGTCTGGGCCTCCAGAGCATCCACGGTAAGGCTCCTAGTTGCATTATTGCTGGTTTTATTTCTCATGGGATCATGGGGGCAATGTTTCCCTTGCTGAATTTAGTAGGATGGGATGTTTATGCCAAATGGGTAATGGTAGGGTAGATAAACTAAGTAGTTATGTTTGCTCTATGAAAACATGATGAGACAGAAACTAAATAACCACATGTATTAATCTGTTTAAATAGTAGACACTGCTGGGGATACAGCTCAGCAGCACAAGTGCCTGGCTAGCAAGCACAAGGACCTGAGTTTGATTACTGGCACCAAAAAAAAAAAAAAAAAAAAAAAAAGTAGCAGACACCGAATCCATAAGTTGGCCAATTTTTCTAAAAATAAATGCTGATGGTAAGAAGAGAGAACTGAGCATATGTTGTAAGTAGCTAAGTATAAATTCAAAATTACCAAAAACTCTGGGTGCCATGGTGCTGCTGAATAAATAGCATGCAATTCCCAAATTCATTCTAGCAAACTGTAGTAGTGCTCATTTGGATGCGACAGATCTTGGATAACGGGAAGTATATCTCTCTCCATGGCTACTCTTGCATAATGTCATCTCTAAGTAAAATCTCCATACTTGCTCTAGTGAGGCACATGAGTGAGAAAACAGCTGAGACATCAGAGCAGAGCGTTCCATGATGGTTCTATTTTGATGAAAGGGAATGATTCCTACTTGGCTGACAATAGAACATAGACCACGATTTGGGTCCTACCAAGATGGCATTTGAGTATCCCTTTAGGTAGGCAAAAAAGGCAATGGTCTTATTATACTGAGGTCTCTTGCTGCCTTACATGGACATGTTTCAGGGGCAGTTTTTGAATTGTTTTGACATATGATGAATATTTAATATTTTTATACTACAGTCAAACGCATATTGCTATTAACCCCTCTGACTTTAAACGCACTTTTCCCTTCATTCTTGCTTCTTTCCGAAAGTCTTCTTTCGTGAGTATTTTGCAAGGTCTGATCAGCTGCTGCCGAGTGCTGTCCTACAGAAAGGCAGGCTCATGAAAACACTCATAGCATCCTCAGTCACCTTACTTCCAGGCTCGGGCCCTGTGGGAGTACTGGTTCTTTCTAAAACTCAAAATGATCTTGAGAGGTAAAGGTTTTGAATCCATTAAAAGTAAAGAAGGCAGCCATGTCAGTGTAACTAAAGACATTCATGAAAGAGAACTTCCAGAACTGTTTCATAGAGTTAGAAGAACAACAGGATACTTGTGTTTGAAGTGAGAGGAAGTATTTTGAGGGAGGATTAATGGCCATGTGTCTTTTACTGTAATAAATTTTTAAAATTTAAACACAGTATATCTTTCAATCACATCTCATACATTGCAAAGGGGAAAGATCAATGGATAAGTAGAAGTTTCTGATTTCTTAGTAGTTCTAATTTCAAACATACTCTCTTATTATCATCCATATGCACACAGTTATTAGTTTGTGGGCTTCTTTTTTAAATTAGAAAATATGATCACTGAGGTCTTATAGAACATCATCAATTCTAGAACTGTGTAGTTTGGAATTTGAATGTGTGATTCCAGGATATCCCACAACCAGGTGCAAAGTAAAATGTCTTGACTCATCCAAGCACTTTTATGTTTATGTGTGTTTACTATTAAGTCACTAGGTGCTTAGATGGTTGCCTAAGTGTTTCACCTTTCATCAGATACTACTGTCACATAGCTACAGCTATAGTCATATTATTACACAGAAAGCATACCAATTTAGAAGATTCACTATACACTATTTTCTGTGAAGTGAAGGCGAATACTGTCAGTGCTATACCGCAATTGAAGTATGACATAACTTCCAGTTTTCTTCTCAATGTGCTGTGACCTAGTGCTTACAAAAATAGATGTGGGTAGTAGAGCTGAGTTTATTCACTGGCTCTGCCATTTACTTTGATCTTGATTAAGTTTATCATCTTCTTTTATCTTTACTTCCTCCGATGGTAAAATAGAATTAATAATTTTACTTAAATTGTGGGCTTATGGTGATGACTATCAATGCAATAATATGGGTAAAGTGCCTAGTACTCTAAGTGCACATGATAAAAGCTAGGTCAATGTTAATGATATTTTCGCTGGTATTTTCACCAAGTGAGAAGTAAGATTTAACATGATCAGTTAAGATAATTCAGTTTTTAAACGTTTTATTTCATCTTATTTTTATTTTACAAATATTTATGTAAGCTTATGGAGTATAACGTGACATGATAATGTAGGTATAACATGGTAGAATGATTAAACCAAGTGAATTAACAATTTATCACCTCACATACCACTTCTTTATAGCGAGAACATTTAAAATCTATTCTTTTAACAATTTTCAGATAAATACATTAACTATAGTCATCATATGATGTAATAGTAGAACCCTGAAATTTATTCCTCCTTATACAAAGTTTGTATCTTTTTCTTTTCATCTTTTTGAAACAAGGTCTAGCTATACAGTTCCAGCTGACCTTGAGCTCACTTTGTAGCCCAGGTTGGTCTCAAATTTGTAATTATCCTCCTGCCTCAGCCTCCTGAGTGCTGGGATTATAAGTATTTGCCACCACGCCTGGCCCAAAGTTTGTATCTTGTGACTAATATTTTTCTAAGACTTGAGATTTTAAAGTTAAAATAAGTAAGTAAAATATATTGTGCAACACATTTAGACTAAAATATAGTGAATCAAAATCTTTGGAAAATCAGGGGGAAAGACTTGGACTAAATATTGGCCAGGTATCTTATGCGGCAGTTGTTATAATGATTGCAGCATTACTCATACTGAGCTAAAAATATAGATCAAGATGGATTGAGGACAGTACATGAGGGGTGGGGAGATAGCATAGAGAGAGGGAGCAATTGACAGTACATATAATGGCCTGAGTTTTACCCCCAGCACTGCAAAAAGCAAACCTACAAAAAACTAATCAACAAACAAAAAACCAAAAGAAACCAATGGACATTCGGTGAAATTTTTCTTTCCAGACAGAGCTGATGGCCCCATTCCCAAAACCAAATTAATTATAACATTTGTATCTTGGGGATTTCCTGTAATTTACATTAATCACTGACTTCTTTACAATGGTAATTTTTCAAACTCTTTAGATAATTTTAGAATATTTTCCTTCTACTTCAAAGTGGTATGATAGCCTTGTGTTTTTTTTTCTTTTCCCCAGGAGTAGGACTGTATCTGTAACAAGGTTGGGGAAAAATGTAATGCTGTCTACAAATTTCTTGTTGGAGCTTACTTGCTTTTTGAAGAGACAGAGACAGAGACAGAGAGAGACAGAGAGAGCAGTGTCTGGCATATGACTTCTGTCCTGATGAAAGTAATAAAAATATCAAAACCTTCTCCTCATAGACTGAAGTCCTAGCCTGAAAGTGGAGATGGAGCCATCTCTAAGGCCTTGGACCCCTTACTCTGTTGAGGATTGCAGATCCAGGCAGGCAGGAATGTTGCAGTTAATACCTGATACTGGTTGACTCCAGTATATACGATTTGGAATAAAAGGAGTAGGAAATCTTTGACTGATCACAAATTAGTGTGATAAAAAACAATCCCAACCTTGTCCAATAAGAAGAATACTTATACCTTGGTTCCTTTGAGAACACAGAAGTTAGGGCCATACCTCCATTGGGCTCCTGTTTGTGTCCATTTTTTAAATTATTATGCTGATTTAGCATGATACACGGATCCACTTTTAAAGGCCATACCCCTCATCCCATGGAGATTATGCAGAGCAGGTACACTAGGGCAGATTGAGCTCTGTATCTATGTTTTACGCCTTGAAGATCAGGTTTCAATACACATGTGCTTATCAGGCTTACGTTTATGGCTCTATTTATTTGTTCCTGTTGAAACATGCACATGAAATGCTCGAGACAGAGCTGTGCCTTCTACCAAATGCCAAATACCAGTGTGCTGGTATCATACATGCGCCTGCCATTTATGCAAATGTCTAAGAGTACATTCTGCAATTTCATGATTTCCTGGATTAAGGCATGAACTGATTAACTCCTGTGCTAATTACAGCCCTGAACTGACTCCCTAACATTGAAGAGCTCTTAAATCTATTGTTGCTTCCTTCACCCCCTTGTAAAAATTTCCTCTATTGTAAGGTTAAAGCCAAAAGCTATTATCTCACTTCTCTGGGACTTTCCTACTTAATTTTCATTATTTGTGAGTTTCGCCTTTATTATTAGAATTCAGAATTGTTGGAAGAAAAATGTTGATTTGTAATTAGATACAAAAAAATGAAATTAACTTTTTGCTTAGTTTCTTGGAGAAGCAAGATCGGATCTTTTGAGACAACTGCCTGGATTAGTATCTTATGTGGCATTTACTGGTTCTGTGACTATAATAAGCTCTCTGGCGCTCAACTCTTCATCTAAAACTTACAATAATTATGTTGACTTTATAGAGTTGTGACCAATAAGTGACTTAATTGTGTTAAACAGGACAGTGCCTGGTTCACTGTAAACATGGTGTAGTTGATATAATAATGTTTTTTCTTTTAGTAAAAAATAAATTAGCTTAATAGAACACTTAAAATTGGGATTGGGTGAGGTGGCACACATCTATAATCCTGGCATTTGGGGAGGATGAGGCAGGAAAATGGCAAATTTGAGCTCAGCCTCGGCAACTAGTGACTTTGTGAGACCCTGTCTCAAAATTAAGGATAAAAAAGGAACTGGGGATTAGCTCATTGGGAAGGTTTTGGGTTAAATCCCCAGTACTGAAAAAAAATAGTACTGAGAAATGATCTTTCATTTGAGGTTGATAAGATTTTTATAAATAACTCTGGGTGTTATTACCTAATACCACTACCTGTCACCAGTGCATGATAATATCTAGGTGTGTAATTTCTAATGTCATTTGAGAGTTAAACAACGTGGTTTGCATTGTATCAATAATTGTAATTTTCTAGTATTCTCAATTTTCTTGTCTTGAGATTAATTCAATGCTATGCACTTTCCAGTATATTCTTATGCTGT